TTTCAGCAATGTAACAGTACTTGTACTTAAGTACAAATTTTCAGTACTCTTTCCACCAGCAGCAACTGAAACAAGCCACGGTCTCTATACCTTACTGCCGCATTACATTGCTGACAGAATGCAGTGTTTTCTAATCTAGAGATTGTAAAAAGGATGTAGCACACGCACTGTGGAGTCAAGTGCCAGTGGATTAGTGCTCCCGGGAGACCTGTTTCTCCTTTTCACAGTCTGGCAGAAATGATGGGTGGTTCCAAAACATATGGTCACATGACAGTAAAAGTGTACAGGTGCCAAGATACAGGGGGTGGGTAAACTTACCCACTGGCTCAATTTACCCCACTCTCCCCTACTTCCATTGAAGATGAGGCAGAAGCAGGCTCAGAGAGAGGGAGAGCCCACTCTTATCAAAACATCTACAATAAAGTCTGAAATTATTACAGCGTGTGCTGTCTTCTCTTTTCATTGTATATTTGTAACAACTGGATCATTTGTATTAACAAGAACCCACCCCCCTAGTGCCCCTTTTTTGGTTTGGGCCACTGCTCCTCAAAATGTCTGTGCATGGCCCTGACCTGTGATGTTATGGAAGAAACTCCAGAAAGTTCTGGTAGAGCTGCATGATGAGGTTCACAAGCAGTTGACTCCATAGCCACTAACACAGTGTCCTCATTTGTCATGTCAACAACTGTTGCCATGATCATAGAGTGATAAAACAGTTATGTGCTTAAAACAATTGGAGTTAAATTTGACAATCTTCAGCTTAACATTTGCATGGGTCACAGATTTAGACAGACAACAAAAGCAAACTGATTAACGTGCAGCAACTGAAACTATTTTAAAAATAACATAAAATAGCTTTGATATCAGGCAAGATAAGATCTTACCCAAAATGCATTTGCCACACCTGCTCACTAATCAAGAGTTAATGATCAGGTCCTAATAAGACATTCAGCACACCTGTAACTTGTTTTTTTAGTGAATATATTCACTGTTGCAATCAAAAATTACAGGTGCATTTTGGGATGACATCTTATTCTTGGCCAGTTTTATTTTTTAATTAGTAGTGACCAAAATATGTTTATGTTTTTATTTATATATATATGACTAAACATTAAATGTAATTTATCTTCACCCATCTTATATACAAACACGCTCACATTTCAGAGTATTCATTCTTCTGACTCATGAAGTTGCAAACCTGTATTTCTTTCTTCTGCAGAACACAAAAGGCAACATTTAAGAACGTTGGGATTCCAAAAAATTGAAACAAACTGACTGTCCATTTTAAATGTCACTATGCTCCACAGAAGAAAGAAATTCATACAGCAGGGGTTCTCAACTCTGGCCCTCAAGGTCCACTTTCCCCTGGCATACAGGTTTCTAGCAACATGAGTAGACAACAAATGAATTTTATGGGAGAGCTAAACAGTCTGGGGTTTGTTGAAAAAAAGCAGACAGAAATCCAAAAATCTCAATTTTATTGAGCTGATAGCAAACACAGCTGATTAAGTGGGAAGACAGCAATTACGCATCTGCAATGGTGACCTCCACCTCAACACCAGGCTCAATGCTGATGCTGGTGATCTGCTTGACGATCTCAGATGGACTGTGTAGATCAATGAGACGCTTGTGAATCCGCATCTGGAATCTGTCCCAGGTCTTGGAACCTTCGCCACATGGAGTCTTGCGAGTAGTGATACGCAGGGTCTTGACGGGGAGAGAGAATAAGAAAATGGAACCAAATTTAGGATGAGAGTCTAATAACAAGCATCTTAAAAACTGGGACATTCAACAAAAACATTCTCTTGAAAATGTCTGTCTGTGAATGATACGAGTATTTAATTGAAGCCCTTTGAAACTTCCATTTGATTAGAACAGTTTAGATATGAGAAGATCAAGACAAAAAGTCAAAACTGGTACTCGCCTTGGTGGGCATACGCACAGGTCCCTTCACCTTGAGACTCTTCTCCTTGGCACCTCGGATCAAATCAGCACACACTAAAGAGAAAAAAATACTTAATGACAACATGCCTGACCTATTCAGAATCACAAATCAGAGTTTTGTGAAAAAAGGCTCAGAATAGCGTATAATATAGCTCATGTTTATGTCATTCATATATTATTATCCTCATTGCCATCAATTTAGTACCGCTAGAGCACTGGGGTGCAAGCATACCTTTTTCCAGAGATTTGACATTGCGGCTGGTCAGAGTGATGCGGATTCGGTGGATTGCCACCTCGGACTCAACAGGAGCCTTACCAGTGTCTTTGAATGCCTGCAAAACATACATGTACTGCTAATAAACGTTTTAAACTGTGCAAACACTGCAATTCTGATACTCAGCAAATACTTGCTCTTTTCTCCTAAATCACTCTTTGAGTTATAACCCAGAAGACTGACATACTCACTTAACTTAGATCAAACTAGGCAAGTCAGTCAGGGAGGGAGGGAGTCTTCATTCACATGTAAAACATTTAATTATAAACAAGCCAGAAATGTGACTTTTACTTTGAAACTTCTATGCTCCACTACGGTTTAAAAATAAATAAACCTTTTCTCTGGCAATGTTGTTATTACTGTTGAGTACACAAACACTTGTTTGCTTTACTACTCCCAGCTGCTCATTCAAAAAGATGTCAGATAAAACATGTACTCTTAAAACCATATGCACTACAATATAAAACACAACATTGTCATAACTTATCAACAGAAGATCATAAGCACTCTCTTGGCATAAAATGGTATTCACTGATTCCGAACTGCTCAAACTCTAAAAGCCTGCAAACCATGCATCAGCGCAACGCCGGGACATCAATTCAGAAATAAGCTGCGGCACTTGTTTACACGAGCTGTTTAACACCTCAGTACAGGCTCAAAAGACAACAAAGACCGCTTCTGTGTGTTAATACGATATTAGTAAAACCTCAATTTACCATGGTTACTAGTTCCTGACCGACTTAATCGTGGAAATTATTGAAACGCGAACAGCGGTGAGTCAGGAAGCGCGCAACACGACCTCGCTCCGGTCCTTCCTGAAAAGAGGCTTAAAGGCCTGCTCGTTCATTTATAAGATGCATCCGGGTACTATGTGACAACAACACCGCGTCAACACCTCCGCCGGAACAAAAAGCATTTTGCCGACTCGCCTCGCCTGAAATGTAGGCGAGAGTAGGCAGCTGCAGTGAGGGGAGGAGTGAAATAAGTGCAGTCAAGAAGACGGACAGTTCTGAGCTCTCGAAGTGGAACAGATACCAACGAGATTATTCACAGATACTATCGCGTTATTCACACTCACGTGCTGTGTTGCTAATAAACATAATAGGTGCGTTCGACTTGAAGCACCGCTACAGACGGCAGTCAGCACAAAATTTCTAACCGGCATGCACTGCTTCAAGTCAGCCGCCGATCGGTTTGCGCGGCGCGGCATGAAGTCGAACGCACCTGATATAATTTCAGTTCTGTAGCTTTTTATATAAATATAAATATTATGAACAAGACACTCAAATTGCTTGCTATTTAATTCCATACGAAATGCGTATTTATTATCCATTTCTACTTTAATACAAACATGTATTTTAGATTTTTATAGAAATATGACTCGCACTGTCATGTTTGGAAATATTCATGCATAATTTAAATACATAATCACATGAAACCAGATAAAACAAAATAACATTTTAGAAGAGAACGCAGCATCACGTGCCGCACGAGTCTTAAAAAGTGAAGCCATCGCATTTCGATCGCCCCCAGGTGGCTGGTCCCAGTATAGGTCATGAACCCCGCCCTCTCCATGTAATCTAATGGAACATGAGACAAACTAAATAATTAAATTTCACTTCAAATTATTTTTTTTTTCCAAATATGGCTTTTGTCATTTGATGTAGATTTTATCACGCTGATGTAAGTTCAAGTGTTCGTTTTTTAAATAATTTTGGTTTTAGTTAGTTAAGTGATGCTCATAGTACTGAGACTGCCCTCATTAGAGTGAGTAATGACCTGCTCTTATCATCTGATCGTGGTTGTATCTCTCTATTAGTGCTACTGGATCTTAGTGCTGCGTTCGACACTATT